CCCACCCCGCACATTCTGTGAGAACCAGCAGAAAGGAGCCTGAGCTGCCGGAAACCCATTCCCTATGAATTCATGGCATGATAAGTGTGAAAAAAAAAAAGACCTCTCTCTCTCTCTCTATATATATATATATATATATATATATATATATATATATATATATATATATATATATATATATTCCTGGGAATAAACCTACTTGGCCATGGAGGATTGCTATTTTAATGTGCTGGGGTTTGTTTATTTCTGTCTTTCCAGTGAGATGGTTTTAAGTGAACATGATTAGCAGGAAATGAGCCTTTCTATGAGGAGGATTCAAGGAAAATGTCTCTAGTGCGGGATGACTTTTCCTAAGTATATGACAGAAAACCAGAGGCTGGATCCTAGTATGCAGCCTCCAGGCAGCTCCTTAAGGACCAGACCCTATAGTGATCCCTGAGGATGCATGGGGGAAGCCCTTTATAAAGCTTTGTTTAGGGACCCAGGATAAATCCTAGACTTCATTATTGACATTTCTTGGAGAGGGGCTCGGTTGGTGGTCTGATTTTATCTTATGTCAATGGGGGGAATTCTGTGATAAGAAAGTGAGTCTTGGATGCTTTTCTAAATAGTAACCCAATGCCCATATTGGCTCCAGAATGATTCATTCATTGTTATTCATTTAAGTAATATCCACTGAGCATGTATCATGGGCAAAGTGCTACGTCAGCTCTCTATAACTGAGACAGAACGTGCCCTAGGTTACTGTTGAACACCCCATCCCCAACCTTGCAGAGCAGCAAGGGAGGGGTGGCTGGAAAGTGTGTGTGTAGGGGGGATCAGGGTCACATCCAAGGCCGGTAATAGTGACAATAATTTTTCTCTCTCTGTAGCTTGTGATGAGGAATAAATGAGGAGACTCCTAAAGCATCCAGTATAGTGCTTGGCACACAGTAGGATGTCTGGATCTTGAGGGACAACGTTATGTGGCACAGGGAGTCTCCCATGTTTCGTGTTCCTCTACTACTTTTTTAAACTAGGATATGCTAGTATTTAACTAGTATATGCTAATAATGCTAGTATTTAACTAGCATTTTGGGAGGGACACGTGAAGGGATTTAGAGACTCAAGACAACATAAGTGAGACAATACTACTTAAGTCAGTCACTGCGACAGTATAACTGGGGCCCGTGAAGTATTCACAGTAACCAACCTGCTCTTTAGTCTCGGTGGCAGCCTTGGCCTGAGGCTGCACCCTCTTTAATCTACTACATGGTTCTGCTCCTACCCTTCCTTATTGGAAGCAGTTGTAAGCCACCCTCCCAAGCAGCTTAGCTCACCATTCTTTCTGGAAGACATTTCTGAAAATCTTAAATACAATATTTTTGAGATCAGTTTTAGTAAAAAGAAATGTGACACACACGAATCGACATTGGGCAGTCCACCTGGGCAGTGAAGGGGGCACTGCTGTGCGGCAGTACAGCTAATTGAAAGCCCCAGGTGATGGATCCGGCAGCAGAGACTGGGCTTGAGTCTCTGCCAAGCTGTGTAATCTTGGGCAAGTTCGTTCCTTTATT